TATAGGGACATTCTATCTGCTCTCTTTTTAGTTTGTCTTGTCATGTCACAAACATGGCAAGAAATCTCATGTGATTGATCTTTCCTGTTCCTTACTTGCACCTACCATCACTTTCATTGCTATTCTACTAAATTCTATAAGGACAATCTCAACTCACCGGTAATCGTTTTCAATAAGTATTGACATATCGTAAGCTCTTTGGAGGAGTGCGATTCTAGGTTACCAAGTTTGCAGCAGAGAAGTTGAGAAGGAGGTCTGAGAGTCAAGGATGGCTAGAAACTGTTTCAAATTGATTTTGAAAGAATGGATAACAATATACAAATTCATATATAATCCATAGTATATATGTTATAAGTTCTGCATTATAAGTATATGCATATTAAATATTTATAAAATATGACATATAACATAAAGATGTTACAATTGTGTGTGCTTTTTTATTTTTAATATTTTATTTTATATAATTCTTACATCATTTTTCATTTTTGCACAATGTATGCATTTTCATTTTGGTTATATTCCCCAGACAATTGCACCCCCCCTTATTTTGACCCTAACCCTTCCTCTCCCCGCCCCTCCCCCCGTAGTGTGTCTTTGGTTTATAGTTGCTTGTTGATTTTGATTTTTACTTTGTATTAATTAGTCTTTTTCCTGGTCTTTTTTTAAAAAACTTTTATTATTTTATAAAGATTTATTTATTGGGCCTCCCCTGGTGGCGCAGCGGTTGAGCGCTGGGCTGTGAAGCTCCCTGCAGCCTCTGCAGTGCCGGTTCAATCCCCAGCCACCGGCAAGGGTCCCCCTGGCCTGCCGGGGGATCGAACCCATGCTTCAGAGGCTGAGGACAGCTTCACAGTGCTGCTCTCAACCCGCTGCACCACTGGGGAGGCCCTGTGTGTGCTATTTTAAGAATCAAGTGACACCAATCTGATTACTTTTAATTCCTCAGTGGCAACTTCAACAAGTGCTGCATAGATGAGGTCATGCTTTTTTTATACTTTAGAGTTGTCAGTCTTATGCTCTCTGAATAAAGTCCCACACATTTTTGTTTAATAAAAATTGTTCACAAGGAAAAAACAGATCCAGTTGGCTTATGTTTTACATCAAATTTTGGCTTACTGTTGACATGTATGTTGCACTTGATATCTACTTTGGAATGTTTGTAGCGAAAAGGGAAAATTATTTAATAGTCCACCATATCTGTAGAAAAATATCATAGGAAAAATATATTCCAGTATTAAATTTTTTGCATCATTATCAAACATGTAGGCAAAAAAAGCAAATCTTTTTTTTTTTTTTTTTTTACAGAGATTGGCACTCCTCCTGTAAAAGCATTCCCTAGTTTTGTTTAATTTTCCTCAAAACAAATGCAGTGGCAGAAACGAGAGCAATGTATCACTGTTTACTTGTACTGTATGTTGTATCTCCCCTGAACCTTTTAATTTTATTTTATTACCTGAAAGTCAGTTGTTGTCTATTGTTTGTTTTCTAAAATGAAGGAGATCCATATTCTGGGTTTATTTTTCTATTATTATTAAGAAGATGATGTCAATTTTCCAAAATTTAGGAAACATGCACTCTCAACTGTACCAATAGGCCCTAAAAATGAAATATAGGCATACAAAGTTAACTGAGGTATAAACATGCAAAGGGGAAGTCTCCCTGCGAACATAAAAAGATGTTATTTTCTATTCAGCAGTTCATGTTACTGCTGTTCATGCTAATTAATTAAAGGAGCTGTTGTTATAATGTACAAACAGGGAATCTGAGAAATTGAGAGGGCTTTTAGGTCTCCGAGTGAAGTTAAGTCAATCTGGGTGCAGGCAATCAAATGTAATGAAATCACTTGTCAGTGCTAAGCTTGCAAAAACTGTGAAGTTTGACTAGGGAGTAAAAGGATTATAATTAGATTTCCAATAGGATAATAACTAAATGGCAGAACACAGTAAAGAGAAAATATTACTTTGTTAGCTAATGGTACTGCTATTCGGTTTTAGTTTTTATCAGTGCACTTGTAGTTGTGCTAATTTAATTTGCTTTTATCAGCAAAAATGTATACACAAATGGTACTTGAATGTCATTTCCAAAAATCATTGATGTGAAGGTGCACTTAATGACACCCTGTATATTTATTTTATGTTAAAAGGAGATTAGTTGATAAGATAGTTGATGTTCTGTCTTACAAGTCCCCGAATGAGTTATGGGAATCTGGGTGGGAGGGTATGAAATATATATGCTCCACTGAATCCTTTAGCAGTTGTGAGCAATCATGAGAGTGAGTGTATATTTGTTTTTTGATCACCTTAAAATATTTAGTATTTGTTATCATACACTGATAAAATATAAGAGATACAGAAATTATCAGAAGGTGGTCTATATTTGATGTCTTATTTGTCAGACAACATTCAACACACAAAGACATGAAATAAATAAGCTAAATAGATTTAGAATACATGTAAGGATTCTAGTACATTGGGTAGTTTGTCTTACTAAACTTCATGTGGAAACTATCATAAAATGGTATATGACTTTATTAGTTCTAATGGTGTTCAAGAAACATTCTTCTAAGTTTTCTTGAAATTCTCTGAAGGAGAAGCCAAAGTAGAACTAATTGAAATTCAAAGGGAGACAACTGGGTTCTATCCAGCAGAGCTGCTTACAATAGCAAAAGAAAGAACTTCACTAATGCTGGAATTTTTTGCTGTGATAGAGATGAGTTTTGGAAATGGCATTTTTTTTTTTTTTGGCATGTGTGAAATCGACCCTTATAAGCAAAACTAAAAAATAATCTTCCAATTTAAGTGAGGAAATGAGGGAACTGGAAAAGATAAAATCAGTATCAAAATAAGTCATAAGAGAAAAGAATTATTTAACATAAAAGACCAAAATAATTAAAAAGAACAGAAAAATGGTGGTTAAGCTGGCATTTTATGTTTTCCAAGCATTACACATTTTCTGAAGTTCAGAGGTACACATAAAAGTAATCTTTCAATTCTGAGTATCTTAAATGAAAAGCAATTTTATTGGGATTTCAGATAATTATTTGAATTGATTGATTGGTGAGCTATATTTAAGATTGATTAGTTTTGATAATATTTTTTGGTACCTATTCCCCGAATAATAGAACAAAATATTTTGTTTGAAAATAATTTATTTTATATGTTAAATAGTGATGTTACTGACATATTAATATAAGGTTTTCACCCTAGTTTGTATAAATTTGGATGGGAACTTTATCACTTACAGTGTTTTAAATGTTCTGCTGAGAAAGAGAAGAATGTATATTTTTTCCATTTTTATCACATTTCAAATATTATTTAACATAGTATAAAAGGAAGATATTTGATAAGGAATTATAACCCATCTTACTTTACCATATATTAATATTAAGCACACATACTAAGCAATTTGATGTGTGATTAAAAAAATAGTTCATTCACTTGCTTTAAAATAAGCCCCATTTCAGTCCTTTTAAAGGTATATCTAATTCTCCCATGTTGAAACAGCAAAAACTGGGAGAACTTATTAAAACTATGCTCAGTGAAAACAAATATTAAGTATGTCTTAAGGTCAAGTTAATATGCAAGAACCATTGCTGATAGATTTCAATAAAATAAAAAAAATTGAACCAATTGCAGAATGAATGTACCTAATTGACCTCCCATGAATAAGGTTACTGTTATTTGTTACACGAAAATTAAGTAACTTTAGGACAGTTCAAGTGTTGTCATGCTTCTATATTTCCTGAAGCTGCCACAGAAAATGATTACCCTACGTTGAACCCAAATGGATCTTTTAAATGTATAAATCTGGTTCTGTTGCTTTCATGTAGATCCAGTGGAAAGGTACTGATTACTTTAACCTCCAGCGAGTAACATATCCATGGTTGTCTTCCTTTGTGATACTTAGGAGATAATTTTCTTATGGAGATGTATTGTCTTATTAGAATGAGACTGATTTTCTCATAATAAGTGTGAAAATAAATTTAGTCAACATATAAAGTGTTAGAAAACTGTACCAGAATCACCCTGGAAAAACTCCAGAGGTCAAATACAACTTTTACTTTCAGGTGCTTTTGCACTCTAGTGAAACTATGTTGATTTGTTTCAACTACTTTTTACTATTAAATATTGTTTTTTTTTTTAAATATTGTTTTTTAAAATATTTATTTATTTATTTATGCATACAAGAGCTGGGTTACAGGCCAGAGATGCAGGGTGGTGAGAGGATTCACCAGAGAAAGAGTGGGAAACAGAACAGGTAGACTGACTGAAATACACTGCTGAGGGGAGCAGCGGGAGAGATGGGAGAGGTCTGCTACACCATGTGGGTAGCTCCCTGGCCTTCCGGGGATTGAACTCGTGCTGCAGAGGCTGCAGATTGCTTCATGGTGCGGTGCTTAACACTTTGCACCACCAGGGAGGCCCTATTAAATATTGTTAAACTACTTTTAAAATTCAAAGTATTTGAGCATTCATGGGAATCTTGCAAATCGTGAATTACAAGTTGTACTCATTTCCATATCTAGGCAGTTTCTAAAGTTAGCTAAAAGTGGCATGGATATATATATATATGTTTGATGAAAAATGTTGTTTAGAACACTTAAAATATTGGTAAATTACAATTATTGTACTTGTGACTTTTAAAAACAGTAAAGTGGTGAGATTTTAAAAATATACATCTGTACACTTCTCAATGGTAAATTATATTCTATTTATGTATTTTTTTAGAAATGCCTCCTAATGTATAAAAGCTTCCTTAGCTAAACATATAAGAAATTTGCTCATATTATATATGTACAATTAGTAGTACAAGCTCAAAAAAACTGCAGATTTCATTCTGTCATAAATTAAGCAGACTGAAACATTTATTTTACTTATGTGAAGACTATCAACATAGGAAGAGCATCCCCACCCCACCTGGTGTCATGTATTAAGTAGTTGTAGAGAGACTCATGCTCACATATTAAGAAGTTATAAAGAGAATCATGCTATTTACTGTACCTTGCATAGCAGTACTATCATGAGGAGTCCCATTGTTTTCTATTTCATTATCTGCAATTCTGGAATCTAAAAGAAGTGGCATTCAAGATTAAGTTACAATTCTCGTTTTCTTTATTTCATTTCAAAGAACAACTCCTAAACCAATTACTTTAGTCCTATAGATAACACAAGCCCTTGGTGGTGTTTTCTGTTTTGTTTGTTTTTTTTGTGTGTGTGTATTTGTTTTTAATGGTAGGAGGGAGAATTATAAACTGTAGTTGAATTCTACAATATATTTCTAGGTATACGGTAAATGCATCTTCATTTAATTCTTCAGAGATAAATCTCAGAGATATAATCTGTCCATAAAAATCTTCAAGACTATCAAGTAACATGCTTTGACTGTGGAATAAGAAAAATACAGATACATGGTATTTCATTTAAAAAATTAAATTCATTGTACAAAAATGAACAATGATATAAAATATATATAAGTAATTAATTGATTTAAAAAATAAATAAAGATAAAATTGCAATGTGGTTAAATAATTTCCCCAGTGCTTCCTGCCAGTGAGAAACAGGTTCTTATTGAAAGTGAAAATCAAAATCAACAAAAAACTATGAACCAGAGACACTGTATGGGGGGTAGGGGGTGGGGAGGGGAGGGATTGGGGTCAAAATAAGGAGGTTGCAATTGTATGGGGAATATAAAAATAAAATTTATTAAAAAAAACCAGGTTCTTATTGTTTACAGTTTTAGTGGCATATTAGCTTATAGATTATTATTATGTTCTGTTATATTAGCAAAAATATTAGATGTGTGAATTTATATTAAATATGAGCTATAATTCTAAAAATGCCATATATGAATTCATTATGTTGACATATATAAATTTATATAATCAACATTTTAAATATATGGATTTATACTACCCCAAACTATTAACTAATGAATTTATATTACTACAAAAAAAAAAAGGAAGACACAGAGACAACAGCATAAATGGAAGTATCCCACTTATGGAATATTTTCTGTTTCTAAGATTTGATAGATGAGATTAAACACTAAAAAGCAGGTTATAGCTTGTGGCATGGATCTAAGGACAAGAGAATACATCAATTGGTTTGAAAAACTTGAGTAAAAGAAACAAGTGTTGGGTTTGCATTTTCAATTTTAAATATGAAATGTGATTATCTAAAAGCTATTCATCTACATGAAGCACAGCTTACTATGGGAATTTTTGTTTACACACATTTTCTAGGACACCCTTGGGTAATGTGATAACAGATGCCAGTGTATCACTCAAATTAATGTAAGGAAATGAAATGAAAACAAGGCACCCATCATGCTGTATAAACAGCATCTTTTCCTTTATATTACAGAACACTGGAGCTACAGGGGAGCTCACTTATGGCTGGATTTCAAATATGTGAAAAACATCAAATTTTCTGAGAGTTACAAGTTCAGAGCCTCAAATAATAAGAGTATTAAGAACATTTGTCCTCTTTCTGGTCAGAAATGTTATTTTTAAGATAATCATGGCTGATGGCTCTCACTGTCTACATTGCCCCATTCTATGAGATCTCTGTGTGCTGTTTCTTACCCACTGTCGTCTGTGTTTCAATGAGACATGGTAGTCATGAGTTAATAATCTAGCACTGTATTTCTATTGATTGTGGTCACAGTGATCCAATACAGTCACTGTAAAAAGAGAACTGAATGTTTGCAAATTATTTACTTTTTTCACATTTTAGCTACCATACAAAAACACCTGAAGAAGGAGAAAAAAGCCAAGAGAAAACTGGGAAAATCTGTACAAAATTCTTTATTCATTCTTCCTATAGGGGTATTGAAACAGCCTCCTTTTAGTTAATGTTGTGTCATATGCATGCATGGGGTATGTGTACACGTGTATAAAATATTTAGCTTCATCCTGGCTATATACAGATAACAGCTAAATCTATGTGCTTTCAATGTACTATGAAAGAAAAAGTTGAATATTCTATAATGTGAAACAGTGTTGTGGGGTTTCATAATTAAAAATGGATTAAGAAAATACTGGAAGTGGAGAGATTTCATGACAAAAGTACCTCTTCCCAAGGATCCCCAAGGATTTACCTAGAAAATTCTTTCACAACCAGGTGTTCCCTAGCCTTCAATTCTGATGCAATCTATATTAAAGGATCCAGCAACTTACACCTCATTATAATTGAGTACACCAAACACCAACATGTTTTCACATAAATGTACCTAAAACACATTTCAGGTGCAGGGAGGTTATCAGTATTACTACTTCTACTGTAAAAGTCAGCAGGATTTCCCTTTCATTCCTAGGCAATTTTAATCTCCTTCAATAGGGATTATTCTGACAAATTTTATGAACTAAATTATACCTGGACAAATCCTACCGCTTCCTTCCCTCCTTCTTTCTTCCTTCAACTCTTCTATTTTTCTGTTTGAAATTGTTTTGCTTTATGTACTTTGTGTGTGAAAGTCCAAATCAATCATTACCTTTCAACATCCTCAGGCCACTATCACCAGTAGTGGCTTGCTTAAGTGCTTGCTCAACCTGCTCCCGGCGCTTTGATTCAAATTCCAAGGCTTCCTGCAGTTTTCTCTTGGCTTTTTTCTCTTTCTTCAGGCGTTTTTGCATGGTAGCTAAAATGTGAAAAAAGTAAATAGTTTGCAAAAGCTTGGTCAATGAAATGCAGTTGCCAGTTTTGATGGATTATAAAACACAGACATAGATACAGAGTAATATACATGTATCAGCAGACATGTGATTAGCTTCTTTTAGTTCCATTTCTCACTAGACTAAACCAAAGAGTATTCAATCATACAAATGGACATTTTTTTATCTTTCACCTTTCAGTGTGTCTGTTCTTTTTTTTAATATTAAAGGTTTTTTTATTTATTTTTTTTATTTATACAAGCACTGGGTACAGTCAGAAGTGCGGGAGAGTGAGAGAATTCACCAGAGCCAGAGTGGGGTAGAGAACAGGCAGAATGACGAAATACACTGCTGAGGGAGGGGATCAGCGGGCCCGGCAGGAGAGGTCTGCGCGCCATGTGGGACCCTCCCCTGCGGCCGGGTTTCCAACCTGCACTGCAGAGGCTGCAGAGGCTGCAGAGGCTGCAGAGGCTGCAGAGGCTGCAGAGGCTGCAGAGGCTGCAGAGGCTGCAGAGGCTGCAGAGGCTGCAGAGGCTGCGGGCAGCTTTGCAGCCCAGCGCTCAACTGCTGTGCCACTAGGTGTGTCTGTTTTATAATATACAAGCATTTGTATGTAGTGGAGTACAGAATTATTTTCTACTTTGCTTAACTATTTGCATTTAATGATACCATCAAATTATCAATCTCTTAATATATTCTATTATTCATCAGTTTAACGCCATTCATATTTAAAAAAAAAACAAAATATCAGAAAATATCTACTGGGTTGCAAAACGCTGCGTATTCTTAAAAGCTTAAAGCACCTAGTGTTTATTTCTTTCATATGCTATCAGCTATAAGAGTAAATATCTTTTTAAATATACATATATTATCATCAGTCTTTCTCCTTATATAGATGATATAGATAGATTGATATAGTCATCTATATAGCCAATACATGTGTATGAATAGCTTTCAGCAATGATTATATTAAGCAATTTGTAAAACACACAACAGTATTATTTATTTTGTAAACAGAAAAGGTAATGAAGAGCTAAACAAAAAACTAGAAACTTTAACTGCCCTAATGCATGATTGCTTCTAAACTCTGACACTTTATAATCTGATAATTTCTCAAATAGAATTACCATATTCCAGCAACATATTGGCTCATAGCAAGGTTCTAAGCAGACTGAATGTCACATTCTTCCAAAATCAGGTTTGCAATAGAAAACATCCAATGAACATTAAGCAAAACTATAAATTATGTGACAGTTTTAAAATGTTAAACAAATTCATAAATAAAATACTTTGAAATGAATATGATGGTAATTTTATATACAACTCTATCTCACAGTTCAATGTCTTTTTATATAAATGAACCCCAGCAACTTGAAAGTCAGTTACTAAACTAAATTTATGTTCACTTGAGACACATTCAGAGGCCTAAGGTAATAACAAAATGGAAATCTTGAAAGAAAAACACTGACACCAAGAATGTATGGCTCTGTCATTTTTGAGGAAAGATATTATATATGGTTGAACACAAAACCATTTTAGTTATTAGTTACATTTAATTATGATCATAGAAATAGTGTTTAACAAATTATTTAAACCAGAAATCTAGATTCATTCAAACAAATTTGATGTCATTAAGATAAAATTTTGTTTCCAGTAAAATTATTGGTTCAAAAACATTCTATATGCTGATTCTATATGAACATGTTCTATATGTTGAAATTTATGATTTTATATTTTAAGCAATATCATAGATTATTACATTCAAATCATGTAAATAAATAGTAGCTATCATTTATTTAGAATCTACTCTGTACTGAGCATGTTTCTGGGACTATGTTTCATTTAAGATTTATAACAACTCAGCAAGGAAAATACTATATCTTCATTTTATAGATAAGGAAACTGAGTCTTTGAAAAGTCAAGAAATTTATCCAAGTTTACACTGCTATTTGTTTTCATAGTCTGTGAGTGAATGATCACATAAGCAATTGTTACAAAGCCTGGGGATTATATTGTTGATTAAGGACCAAGACAGGTGACCTCCAAGCTCTCTCACAGTTCTATCATTTTATGGTTTTAATTGTTTGATTTTCAAAGAATATTACTGTTTATGTTTATGTATCTTTAATTCAGTAACACATTCTGGCTAGAAACAATATGGTAATATTTACTTTGAATGTGAAATAATGCTTTTTTAATTTGGAAAAAGATACTCAGACAATTACCGCCACATATGAAAACTATATACATACAGTTTTATCTATGGTCTTTGTGTATATGTGTATATAGAGATACTATTTTTACTATTTCTTAGAGATGTTACTTTTTAGCCAGAATATAATTTTTCTCACTTTCTTTTTATTCATATGACTTTCAATAAAGAACTTACCCTTTGTTGCATTAAATTGCTTATATTGGAGATGAGATATTTAGAAAACTAGAAAGGAATTTAAGTGATCATCCACTTCACTATTTTTTTTTTGTAATAGATGAGAATACTGACTGACATTCATAGGGATGATGTAGGTAGCTTCTCTAAATTAATGAGGATAATATTTTCCCATAATAATGTTATTCATTAGATGCAAAAATGTTAAAATTAGTGTTTAACACATAGTAGAGAGTTGGTAAGCATTAGTAAACATTAGCTAGTGGTAGTAGTACTGATAGTAGTAGAGCTATAGCAAAAGTAACAATGGCTGTAGTAATGTACTAATAGTAGTAATGGTATTATTAGTATTATACCCAAATAAATAATAGATGTATTAAAAACACATATTTCAAATTAAATTTGATAATAGGTTCAATATTCAATATTATATCTATACAAGATATGTATAATAGTAATTATAAAGATAGATCTAAAGATTCTATGAGAAGTTAGTAAACAAATATCAGTGTGAATAGATTCTGAAAAATTAGAAGCTGACTTTACTACATGTAGTAGGTTTGCATAAGCCAATTTTCAGAATGTTATTACATTTAATATATGATTATTTAACTCTTTGGTACAAGAAAATTCCCTACAAATGAATGTGTTTTTATGACTGTTAGAAATCATTTATTTTATGTACCCAATACCAGAAATATACAATTTCTCAGAACTTTAAATGACAATTTAGCCTTTACTTAGTAGTTTTTAATGACTTTGGCAAGATAAGAAGATGAGGCTTAATTCTTTTTAAATGTAGTGACTTACTTTCCATTTGGACTGGACTAAGGATTCTTAGGCCTTAAGGAAAATATACAGTGAGTATTCAGTTTCTTGACACAGATTATAAAAGATAAGATGCTACTTTTGTATAAAATAAAGTTCATGAATTTCACTCAACTAGTGTCATTTTTGTTCTGGAAGGCATTATCCAGGTATGGAATTTCTCTACCATTCTTTCCCCTCCTTACCCTTTAACTCTTTTATTAATATTTTCTTTGTGATATTTCAATAGAAGTATAAGCAGAAAAGGGAAATAACTGAAATTAACAAGTCACTTTGCTATGCTAGTATTTTATGGTAAATGTAAGGAAGAGGTGAAAACTATTGACTAGGGCAATGTTTTTTGGTTTTGATATGAACTAGTCCCATTGTTCATATTTGGAGATAATAAATGTTGACCTATGTTGGAGTGTTAATTCAATTTGTGACAATATTTCTTCACTATCTCCCTTATCTCTTTATTCTTTTTTTTTAACTTTTATTTTATATATTTTTACATCATTTTTCATTTTTACACAATGTATGCATTTTCATCTTGGTTATAGTCCCCATACAATTCCCACCTTGTTTTGATCCTACTCCCTTCTCCCCCATCCTGTAGTGTGTGTCTGGTTTATAGCTGCCTGTTGATTATGATTTTTTTTTTTTTAATAGAGGCATGTTTATTTATTTATTTATTTGTTTGTTTGTTTGTTTTGTTTATACATGCACTGGGTACAGTCAGAAGCGCGGGAGGGTGAGAGAATTCACCAGAGCCAGAGCGGGGAGCAGAGCAGGCAGAAAGACCGAAGCACACTGCTGAGGGGAGCAGCGGGCGGCAGGAGAGGTCTGCGCGCCATGTGGGACCCTCCTCAGGTGGCCGGGGAGCAGCCGGGGATCAAACCGGCGCCGCAGAGGCCGCGGGCAGCTTCGCAACCCAGCGCTCAACCGCTGCGCCACCGGGGAGGCCCTTGATTATGATTTTTACTTTATTATAATTAGTCTTTTTCCTGGTCCCTTATGCTACTGTAATTTAGTCCTCATCAGCACTGCCTGATGTAAAATATCCTTTTGCATACTTATTTCTAGTCTTACTCTAATCCCCCTCTGGTTGATTCCCAACACCTGAGTAGTCTTGATTGCAATCAGACCAGATCAGATAATCCACCTGCTTTTTTAAAAAATACTTCCTATAGCCTGCAAGGCAAAGTCCAAGCTAATATTTACATGGTTAAAAGTGCTCTTCATAATTTAGTTTTTTTTATCTTTCTGTGTCATCTTCCACCATTCACTTCACAAAATTCAAAGCCATAGAAAAAACAAACTGTATAAAGTTGTCTTTATACATGCTTCTTGCTTCCATGCCTATGATCACTGATACCTCTGTCTAGAATGTCCAATTATGTACATTCTTAACAAAACCCAGGTTCAGATGTCAGAATAAAGGAGCCTTGTTCAACCATCCATCCCTCCACCAAGCTGAACTACCTAGTCCTTTTTTATATAACCAGACATAATATGCCACTTTAAGTTGAAATTAAGTGGTTGTGCTAGTCTGCTAAAATGTAACTATCTTGAAGTCATGGAATGAGTATTATTTATTTTATAACCCTGGAATCTAGCACTGCTTTTGACAAAGAGCAAGCATTTCACACAGGAGTTTTTTTTTATTATTATTATCTATATTATAAATTCAGAGAGAACTAAGAATATTCATCTTTCCAAATTTGCAACCGACCTTAAGTTCAGATCTAATTCATTATTTTTTATTGCAAAGAAAAACAGCATAATCTCTCTACCCTATGGGTATTTGATTCTTAGCTTGTCATTTGTTTTCAGAAGTTCTAAGCTATCCCTGAGAATATTTCTATTACTGTTGAAAAATATCCTTAACACATTATTACTCAGTAATTGCAATTGTTAAACTTACTTCTGCTCTGCAGCTCAACAGCAAGCTGTCTTTCAAGATTTTCTCTGATTTCTCTTTCTCTATAGAGCTCCATTCGCAGTTCCTTTTTTTCTTGTTGAATCTGTTTTTCTTGGATGCGAGCATTATCCAAAGCCACCTTCAGTAGACCCTATGAAAGTACAGCAAATGACATGCAGTTCATCTTACCTGTTTTAATTTTTCAAATATGAAATAATTTATGTAGGTGCTAATGTCTTGTATTACATTTATTTTGTTTATAGAAATATTGTTGACCTGAATGTTGGTCAACAGTGTCTCCACAGAGGACAGACTATCAGCAAAAATGAATGGTCCTGGGAAGCCAGGAGGCAATGCCTGCCCGGGAGTCAGCTGGATCTTGTCCAAAGGTGATTTCATCATTGGGATTTGTACAGGCACCTCTTCTGAAAAAAATAAGGAAAGTTAATATCAGGTTGACAAATAATTAGCTCACATTTTTTTTTTCAAAGATTTGTTTATTTATACAAGAACTGGGGTACTGGCCAGATGTGCAGGAGGGTGAGAGGATTCACCAGAGACAGAGTGGGGAACAGAACAGGCAGATTGACTGAAATACACTGCTGAGGGGAGCAGCGGGTGAGGCAGGAGAGGTCTGCTGGCCATGTGGGTATCTCCATGGCTGGCGGGGATCGAACCAGCACTGCAGAGGCTATGGACAGTTTCACAGCGCTGCGCTCAACCGCCTGTGCCACCAGGGAGGCCCTCAGCCCACAAATTTTACAATGTTTCTTTCACTACTAATAACATCCATAAATATTTTCTAACACTAAGTGATGGAAAATCATAATTGGAAATCATACTTACTACTAAGCTTCCTCTAATTTCTCAAAATGTCTCAGTAAAGAATCAGTGAAAATGAAAGAATGTGTAATGCTAAAGAGGCAGGGAATTTGGAAAAACAAGTCTAAGATGTGTTTAGGAATACCTCTAAATAAAATAATCAGAAATCATCCTGGAAAAACATAAAATACTTTTATTTTTTTCTCTTCAAATGTATCTACATATATATGTATGTAGGTGTGAATGTATGTATCATCTGTGTCCATTTTTTTCAATAATTTGATAGAGATCTAATTTGCATATAATAAATTCACCTTCTTTATATGTATGTGTCAATGATTTTGGTAAATTTACAGAGTTGTGCAGTCATCACTAGAAATCCATTTTACATCTCAACTCCCTCCCCACAAAAAAAATACCCTTTCATGACTATTTACAGTTAATATCCTTTCTCACTCCTGGTTCCTGGCAACCACTAATCAATCTATTTTCTGCCTCTATAGGAATGCCTTTTTTAGATATTTCACAAAAATATAATCATACAATATGTGGTCTTTTTTGTGTCTAGCTTTTTTTACTTAGCTTAATGCTTTTGAGGTTCATCCATGTTCTGGCATGTAGTTACATTTTATATCTTTTTCTTGCTGGAAACTATTTCATGGATTCACTGATTTTTGTTTAATCATTCAACAGTTTATGGGCATATGGATTGTTACCTTTGAATTATATTCTTTTTTTAAAAATATTTATGCATACAAGAACTGGGGTACAGGCCAGAGGTATGGGGGGTGAGAGGATTCACCAGAGACAGAGTGGGGAACAGAACAGGCAGATAGACCAAAGTACACTGCTGAGGGGAGCAGCGGGCAAGTCAGGAGAGGTCTGCTGCACCATGTGGGTTGCTCCCTGGCCAGGGATCACTCGTGCTTCAGTAGCCACGGACAGCTTCAAAAGTTGCATCTTAACCTCTTGCGCCACCAGGAAGGCCCTGAATAATATTCTTTATGAAGAAATACCATATGCTGTGAAAAGCAAGTTGTGTATTTTGTGTCTCCTTTTATTTTCACATTACCTTTTCCTAATTCTCAGTATCTTAATGAGATTCACTCATCACTTCAGATGAAGAGATATCAATAAAAGTTTTACCTAACAGGATGTTTCAGATTTTTTGGACATACGCATATACCGTGTGTGTGTGTGTGTGTGTGTGTGTAACTATATATATAATTACAAGAGGCATCTGCTCTCAATTTGAGAATCCAAACTACTTAGCTATTTACTTACATTCTTATTGACAATCTTCTGTGAGATGTATGAAACAGTAAAGTTTCATCTATGATTAGGGATGGGAGCTTTTTTTTTTTAACATATGTAAAAAACTGTTGGGAAGAGGTAATCTTGGAATGTAGTCAAACAAACCCTGGTGTTCTTAAATAGATTTGTAATGGGGTAATCCCCAGGGAAAGGGGAGGATCCAGGTTCCCTGCCCCACCCAAACACCCAAAGGAAAGTTGGAGCTGGGCAATAAGGAAAAGCCAGAGAAGACAAGGGGAAGGAAGGAAGGAGATCAAGAAGGAGACCTGTAAGAGGCACATGGGCAGACAGACATGTAAAGAAGCTACTCTTGCTTCTTGGCCTTGGACTTGTACCAGGGACTTGGGGAACATGGAATGAGACACTTGAAAGAGACAAGAGATGTGGGTGAGAGAACTGTGGGGAGGCTGACAATGGCAGATTTTACATTGACTTGAGTTTTAATTTTGCTCTTTTTCTTCTAGAAATACCTTGCCTCTTCTGCCCCCTTCCTATGGGTCCCCACCAGAAGGTGCATTATGACTTGTGGCAAGCTTTTAGGCCTCAGCTACCCTGCTTTGGACCATTCCTGTTTGGCTGGGCATTTGCCCATGAGGGGATGGGTAATTTTGGGTGTTTAATTGGAAACTATTTTAACTATACCCTTTCCTGTCTCTTCTTTTTATTGCATACTAATTGTATTAAAGGTATTTTCTGTTGAAGGTCTTATGCACTAAGGTATATTTTATCTCGATGTGGAAGATTACAGAACCTATTTAGAGCAGGCAGGTTTGGGGGCCTCGGGATATCCCTCCTTCCTACTAACAGATTCAACAGCAGTGCATGATGGGGTGAATCATAGCATTTCAAACAAAATTATACTACTCATTGCAGTCTTTTATTAACTGGGCACAAATAAAGTCTGAAAGTATGTATCTCTCTGGTGAGAAAATTTTTCATTTTCCCTCTATGAGTCTCATGCAAGAAAAATTCTAAGATTTAGACCTAACCAATTTTCATATAGCTCGGACATAGAAGTCTAGCTATAGTTCTGGTTCTTGAAGTGATAGAAATATGACTTTGTCATACAGTTAGACCTTATTTTTTAACTGCAAGAAGTCTATATAATTATTGTGCAGAGTTTTGAATCCCGTTGGTTCACAGGTATTATGGTTCGCTGTGGGATTTCTTCTATGAGAAACTTCTGTGAGTTTCCTGAATGGGATAGCATTAACACTGAATCAAATGCTCTTGATATAGGTAGCTGTTAGAAATTCTAGTTTTCAAAAACCTATAGTGATAAAAATGCTAAATGACTATTTTAGAAAATCAACTGTTTCGTTTTACCTGAATCCAAATTATCATAAAGTATATTCATTGGTCTCAAAGTCTTCAATAATTTTTTTTTAGTTTCCTTTTAGCAAAGGAAGCTACAGTGAATAGATTCTCAGAAATTGGTTTTAGTAAAACTTGAAAATAATATTTTGATCATAAATTCATGATGTGCATGTGCTTTATACAGCTCATACATTTCTTTCTTTTTTTTTAAAAGATTTATTTGTTTGTTTATTTATTTATTTATACAAGCACTGGGTACAGTCAGAAGCGCGGGAGGGTGAGAGAATTCACCAGAGCCAGAGCAGGGAGCAGAGCAGGCAGAAGGACCGAAGTACACTGCTGAGGGGAGCAGCGGGCGGCAGGAGAGGTCTGCGCACCATGTGGGACCCTCCTCCAGTGGCCGCGGAGCAGCAGGGGATCGAACCAGTGCTGCAGGGGCTGTGGGCAGCTTTGGAAGCCAGCGCTCAACCGCTGCACCACCGGGGAGGCCCCATTTCTTTCTTTTTTAAAGTCAGTGGTAGGTTTGGAAAAGGTGAAGTATTTCAGAGGAAATGAGCACAATAGCATACATTCTCTGATATATTTCAACAACAAGTCAGTCTTGAACATGTGAAATATCTTTAAAATACCTTAAATTCTAAAATATATCTTAGCAGCTCTAATGTTTCCAAAGTATATTTCTCAACAGAAAACCAAGTGATATTATGCTTTATTTGTACTATTTGAAGTCTGAATTTAGCTATTATGTTGTTTTCTACACATGAATACATTAAGTTGATATAAAAATTTCATAATTATCAATATCAGTAATAACTGGAGAATTTCTACACATTTATATTGATTGAGAGGTATATACACACATGCATATATATATATACCTTTAAGTAGAATTTATGTAGCCTGGATGACCTGTTTTTATAAAATGAACTGTTACAAAACTAGAACATTGACTTCCTACTGATTCAGAGATCATATAAGGTTTCTCCTGAGTAAATATTTTGTATTGGGGCAGAGTTCTTAAAATTATTCCTTGTTATGTGTCATTGTAAGCACACATGTTACCTCAGTGGTAACAATCTAAGGGGATATTCTATACACAAAATACTGAAAAGGAAAGCAATGCATAGAGTATTCATAAAATGAAAACATAACTACATTGAAATCACCAAACACCTTCTATTTGGAAAGGGAGGAAATATTAAATTGGCTGAAAGGAAAATTACTATTGACTGTGGAGACAGGTTGCTTGGTCTATGGTTTGTAATGTGACTGTAACATAGATTGAAGTTTCAAAATAGCATTATTCTTCTTTAAAGAGACAGAGACAGCAGAATTAGGTGCTGCTTGCTGCAGTGAGGATCAAATGCAAAAAGAATCATATTTCATCAGCCCTAGTCAACACCACGAAAATAAATAGAAATATAAGAGGTATGCAGGCAATGATTCATTTTGATAATCTGGCCCAAGAGAGACACATACAGACAGCACACAGATCTAAGCTCCTACCAAAAGACAAATAGGATAGAGGGTGGGAATTGGGATGACAGTATAGCAAAGGTCACATCGATTTTCAGCAGCAGTTTTCACACAGATGAGATAACCCTGGACTCTATTTGGCCCATTGTTCATAACCTACTTGTCTCATAAGCAATAAATTTCCCAGTCCTAGAAAAGACTAGTAAAGAAGAAGGATTCTACTTATGACTTCTTATGATTAAGTTTCTGTGCTAACCAAACATGCTTTTTCAGACCAAGGTCACATTGCATGTTAAGGTCCATAAAAAGCTAAAAACTTGTCAGAGTATACTATGTTTTGGTATATATGAGAGAAAGTGTCAAGCCATTCATCACTTCTTTTCTGACTTAAATCACATGCTACAAAAATGAATGATTAATCCATTAGAAATCTATTTTAGGCTTTTAATAGGTCTTTCATGTGAATGACATCTAAATTTTGCTCTGAGTTTGAATA